GTAATCTATATGTATATAAGCAACTATCTGTAATATAAGTTAATAAATAAATTAAAAGAAATCGAACGGAAAAACTTACTTTTGACTTTTTAAAAGCAATGCTGTTTGCAGATCATGTTAACGTAGGATGCCGACTGAAAGCAATAATGCGAACTTGTTCAAACAACGTACTACATTTTTTCCTTTGGACCCTATCTCAAAATCAGTACAGTTTATACTGTACTGATTTTGTATATTAGCTGTTATTACGACTGTCACTATCGTACCCTGGCACAACTGTACCCAGTCTCCCCTAATGTAGATGATGAATAATGTAGCTTCTATATTCTATAAGATTGAATGTAGTAGTTCATGTTGCGATAAAGTTATCGCTACCTAGAATTGTTTGTGAATTGAAATTGCGATATTGATATGATCGCTAAATGCTCAAATATCCAAGAATACCGACCAAGTTTATTCAATCAGATTACATTGCAAAATTATTAAATGACACAAATATATATATATATATATATATATATATATATATATATATCTGTACATAAAAAGAAATATATGCCTGACACTCCTCATGATAATTCAAGCAATTACGCTAATGGCCATAAATAGTATAAAAGTATTTATTATATAAAGTTGTAAACCAAGAAAAAAATAAAAATACTAGTACTAAAAGTTATTGAATTAATTACTTAAATTAAAATTATTTGTTACTAACTCATCGTGAATTATTTTCTAACAATAATATTTATATTTGTATATATTTACTATATATACAGAATATACCAAACTCAAATCAATCCTAAGCGGGGCTCACTTGAGCTTTTTTCGGTTATTGTTAATTTTGATCATATTTGTTTGTTTTTACGTTTTTATTTTTTACTATTTTTTTATTATGAAACTATCAAATATTTTACCATTTTACATTGTAAAGTTGGGCGCCACTCAAAGTTGACCAATTTTGAAAATTTTAACTTCATAGTTTAAGTAAATATCCTAATTTTTGAAAACGTGGAGCAACCAACTGTGTCATTATTTTTTACGGTGATCCCAGAAATGTTATTCTTAGTTACGATTCCAAACTTTAAATGAAAAAGTATAATAAAAATTATACACAATAACCGAAAAATTGTCACAGATGGACCAGAGGTCCGGGTAGCACTTAAAAGCACATAATTTTCAAACTACGTGAAATAACTTTTTTAACATCCCATAGGGTAAGTTATAGTAATCGCAAATAAAATCGAAAATAAAAATATTTATATATATTTACGTTTCAAATGTTTCTAAACATTTTGGCATACAAATTAATGTAAGCGTGTGTGTACGGATGCAAATTTTCGTCGACGATTTCGTGAATACGGATCAACCGATTTGAATAATTAAAAAAAAAAATCGATTCGTATTGATAGGGAGACAATGGCAATTCAGTTTTTGAAAGAGAACTGAGCGTCCCATTTAAATGATTCAAAAAATCTTTTACATTTGACCGAATGGAAAATTTACTAAATTTCTGGGAAGGTTAATTCTGATTTATATATATATATATATATATATATATATATATATATTATGGTTGAATTTACAACCATTTACCAAGTAAAAAAATCTAAATTTCCAAATATTCTTAAATAGTTTTTACAAGTGCTTTTAACAAAAAAAATAAATTAAACTAAATCTAATCTAATTAAATATGGATTTGCAGAATTTTGCAGAAAAACCTGATGATGGAACGTATCTAGTTCCGAAACTTCGTAATTAAAAGTCTACAAAAAAAACTAATACATTCGAAAAGCTTTTTTATTTATTCGATTAATAGTTCGAAAAGAAACACCACTTTATTGACAAATTCAAAGCTTATCTTTACACATACACAAATATGTATATTGTATATATATATATATATATATATATATATATTAGGGTGGTCCTTAAAATGGTCATTTTCGAATTTCCTTGCTCCCAGGGGCTCAAATGGTTCCAAATTGATAAAAAACAATTCTCTGAAAATTTTAGCTCTCAATATTAACGTTTAGATAGAGCGCAATTCAATCAAAGTTTGTATGGAAAGAGCATGGAAAAATTTTTGAAAATTAAAAAAAATGTTTTAAGTATAACTTAGCGACAAATGAATGAGTTTTATTCATTCATTTGTTCGCTAAATTACATTTAAAAAACATTTTCAAAATTTTTGAAAATTTTTTCATGCCATTTCCATACAAAACTTTGATTGAATTGCGCTCTATCTAAACGTTAATATTAAGAGCTAAAATTTTCAGAGAATTGTTTTTCATCTATTTGGAACCATTTGAGCCCCTGGGAGCAAGGAAATTCAAAAATGACCATTTTAAGGACCACCCTAATATATATACATGTATATATATATATATATATATATATATATATATGTGCATGATTCAATGTCATATTAAATTTAGTTCTAAAATAACTTATTTATTTTAGGTCAATTGACTACGACAAAGACAATAATAATAATTATCAGTTTTGCCGACTTTGCAGCAAATATAAAGGTAAGTTATTAAAGAAAAGTTTAATGTGTACCCAAAGTTTTCTATATATTTTTCTTCTATATATATGCATATATTTTTTTAATTTTGGTTTTTTGAAAAATTTGAAAATATTGGAATGAATTAAAAGTGCCTCTTCTTCTGTCTAATGACACCCGAGATTCCACGAGTAAATCTGTAGTTACATTATAAGTAATACCATGTTGATATATAAAGAAATATTTATCATTAATAAAGTCTTATTCAGATTTTTATCATACCTGGATAGACAACTGGAGTCTGTTATTTCGACAAGAGTGATTTGTATAAGTTAATTATAACATTTTTCATAAGCTGAACGCAAAATTTAGCAACACAGAAGCATCTTCTGGTAACCATCTCACAATAAGTTCAGTTTTTTTGCGATACCAATATCTTATCATAAGTAAAGGTAGTTTGGTCAAAAGTTCTACATATAAATTATCTATTGCTGTTTTGCATTTATTAAGGTGGCCATATTTTTTTTAGTCAAAATCGGGACGGCAATTTTTAGTGATTCTAATCCGGGACAGTGGGGGATGTATGCTAAACAAATAAAAATAAAAAACTATTTATAAAAAATAACATTTAAGGATGCAACAAATAAATAAGAATTAATTAATTTGTTTTAAAATCACTACGAGCTTCTAGTAAGAATTTTACTATTCGATTGTGTTATATATACTTACTATTTTTACCTATGATGTTATATCTTATATTTTTCGATCCATATATTTTTCTACTTTTGAGCCTTATATAAAATTCTGTTAAATTCTCTTCATAATAACTTGTGCCAATTTTTGCTAATTTTCGTAAAATTGAAGATAAGAGTTAAAATTTATAAATGTTGGAGGCTGTTTTATTCCGCCTTCAGAAATTTCTATTCAATTTTCTCATTCATAACGTATTGTTTCATATAAGCATACTCATTGTATATATCATTTTCATACATTTGATGGATAGTTATAATTTTGTTATCAAGTAATTGCAAAAATCCAATTTAAACCTATATTTTTCAAAAACCCGGGACACACGATGGAAATGCGGGACTGTCCCGGATTGTGAACATACGTCCCCCCAAACCGGGACGTATGATCACCTTACTTTCATGAATGTTTAGTTTTAAAAAGACAAATCCAATGATATGGTAGTAATGATTATTTAGAAGTCATAATGAATAAATTAACAATACTAATTCATAATATTATTGAATTTAGTTTAAAAAAAAACCTTAAGCTGCAGCCACCACATGACGTGTAATTCATGCCTGCATAAAAGCCTACTTGTTGCTTATTTTGGGACTGAGAAATAAAAAATCTGACAATTGGAAAGATCATTATTGTCGTTTGAATTAAAAATCAATATGTCATTTATAGTATCTTATCTTATATTAAAGTTATCAAGTGTTGAAACCAAAAATTGTGATCAAAATTTTATCTCATTTCATGGACGTGTCTCGAAGGTAAATTATAAAAGTTCTACGGGCAAAGTCTGTTACAAATCTGTTACCCAAAAATCTGCACAAACTACCTATTAACATTTTTCCCCCTATGAATGTCGTTCGGTTTATTTCATGAACTAGTCATTATTTTGACGCCAACCCATCGTTGTTTTTTTGATATATGGGTATACTTATACTTCAAGTTAGTATTTTTGACTATTTTTTGCAGCAATGATCGGAAGGGTTATTTTTACTTGAAAACATATTTGTGAATTATATTTTCAAGTAAAAATAGATGTCATTATAGCTTGATATCATGTTGCCAACAACGTCGGATTTCAATTGGACCATTGTACGTGCAAAGATTAGGCTATACACGTCTTCCCATTTTAATAAATAAATAAACATTTTCAAATATGTTAGAAAAAGTGTATTTTTAAATGGCGAAGTTGTAACAACGAACACAACCAATTTGCTAATTTTGTTTTTCGACGTTTCAAGTAATACTGATATTTTTGACACTAATACTGGATTTTTTTTACAAAATGTTTTGTACAAATAATATTTAACCTTGATTTAAAATAAAAAGAAGAGAAAGTACAATAATATGGTCCGAACCCTTTAAAACTATGACCAGCAAAATATACGTCGGATTATGATGGGAGTTCAAAAATACAATTTTGAACATGTTATCTTATAAATATTTGTTCTTCAAGATAACATCTTTAATCGCGCGCATATTACGATGTATGTTGATCTATTAATTGTCTTATATCTTATCTTTACATATAAGTATAAAAAGATAAACTCGCACACCTATAGATAAACGTACGTTTTCTTGTATTTGTAAACTTATATAATGTACAAAGATACAATTATAGAAAATATGTACCGGTTAGTTGCATTCATATCACTCGTTAATTAACAATAGGCAGAAATAAATAAATAATACAAATTTACTAGGCATTTTGATTATAATATTATGGAAAGATATTGAAAAGGAATTTAGAACAACATATAGCGTTTGATTTCAGTTGCAATTCCTAAAGAGTGATAAAAGATTTCTAATTATTTTGATTTTTGATTATTTGCTTTAATAAATTCATGCATATAAAAACAAACAACATAATTAGCAACATAAAGTTTTATATTTGACTACAGTTTCATATTTAAAAGTTTCGTGATTTTGTGAAGACATTAATTAAATAAGTGAAATAACTGTTTTTGTGGAACACTATAAAAAAATATTTCTAATTATTTGCGAAAGCAGTCGATAAACATGATTATAGAACTACTGTGGATAATTATTGAAAATTTTTCAAAATTTTGGATAGTGTTTGCTATTTTACTATATATTGGCGTATATATAATTGAAAATGTATTGGGTAAGTATTACATACACCATTCAAATCATTTTTTCAAGTTATTTGAATATGAATTATTTTATTGAAAAACAAGTTATCGAATGATCAATTAATACGACAGTGAAAACTGGCACAATTAACTCAACTATGTATATCGGTACAGTATGAATAAATTCATTTGACAGTTTTACTTGATTCTACTTTCAAAATGACTGAAGAATGTTTTCTTGTAGTTCTAGGTAAGAATTTCATTTTAGTGATTAAAAAACAAAAGCTAATAATATTCTTTAAAAATGCATTCGTAGTACATATTATATTAGTTAATTAAATATATCAATTTAAGTCATTGAGGTTTTCTGTGTTCTAAGGATTAGAATAAAATTATTTCGATTCATTGCTTAGTTTGTAATTTATGCAAAATATTTAATATTAAAATTGTAAGTAGATTTATAAATCACGAAAAATTAAAAGCAAATGCTATTTGTTTAAAGAAAATCTAAAGGTTAATTTTGGCGGAAAGAAGAACGTAGAGATCTTACTTGATAATTTATCTACTATTACAACTCTAACTTCTTTTAATTTAATTACGTAAATAATATTAAATGTAAGAAATGAATATTCAAGTTTGGCAAATCAAATATTTTATTGAAAATTTGATATAAGTGAACATAAAAATTTTTGAATAAACTCTTGTGAAATACATTGTACTGGAAGTCGTTTTGCAAAGACTATTTTATAAGCAAATTAAGATTAAACATTAGTAATTCAAGGAAATAAAGAAAATGATTTTTGTTTAAAAATCTTATTTTTTTGAAAAACTTGTAATCCGTATCATGTGTTTTAGAAATAATTAAAAGACTAAACATTTATGCATAGATTAGTAGTTGCAAAGTGATTTAGCTCCTTTGGCAATGCGGAATAAACTTATTTTATCAAAATTATTTATAAGACGTATAGTATTTATATTCAAAGGCTTTCATTTATTAACCAGAATTAGTGCTTTTCTTTCAATATTTTGGAAATGTTATCATATGATGAACAATTCGAGCGAGTAATAAAAATGTCACCATTTCGTGAAATTTTTAAGTTTTGAAAACTGGTCGAAAAATATCATGTAATCATTGTGAAGAGTAAGGTATCATTTTGTTTGTTTTTTTTTGAGGCCACATTTCTGTACGAGAAATTTGTTAATTCAAAATTTTTTCAAATTCAAACATTTTTTTAGGCAAAAGTATTTTATTTAAGAAAAAAGTCTTCAACAAAATCATCTTCTGAAGCAATATAGTCTTAAAATAGAGGCTTATAGTCTGAGTTTGAATACAATGTTTAAATTCATGAACCTGCCTTCGGGCAAAGCGACCAATATCACACACACACACAATATAAATAATCAATAGAAATTCAGCCAATCAAAATTGCCCAATAATTTATTTTATCAATTATAATTGTAATTTATTATATCAATTACATAATTATCGCCAAAAAACTATTCATATTTCTATAGAATGTGCGTACATCATACTTGAATATTAGGTTCTACAATGCAATTGACTCTGGTTTCACAAGTTTTGCTAATTATTTACAGATTTACCAGCGCAGCAGAGCATACAAGACATCATCATATCTAGGAATATTAAACAAAATACGAATGAGGTAAAAGAAGATTCTCTTAATGATTTATTGGTAACTGGTTTTGGATAACTTTCAAACCGATAGAAGAAACTACAAAAAGATTACAAATTTGCTTTTGTTATATTTATCTCGATAACTAAATACTAATCCATATGAATCCATGGAGTTTTTTCTGAAGAGTAATTTTTTTCTGGATTATTTTTCTATTTTTAATTCTAATTGTTATATGCATCAGAAAAATGAGACTTCAGTCTTATAGACTGCGTATCGGTGTGCAACATCAAACAATAAAACAGTAAATGAAAATAAATTTATTTTAATTACGAAGTTGTTCAGAGAAATGAAAAAAATACAGAAGATTCCACCTGCTCATAAAAACTAAAATTAAACTTTAAACTGTTTATATAGTTTCATTCTCTTTTCTACCTTTTGAAAAATCTGTCACAGCATCATTTTGTTAGAAAGCTTATTTGCTCTTACGCAAATTTTAAAGAAATGTTTCATCGACTACATTTGAACAGAAATAATTTATTTAACCGGCACAACTCTAATCTTCCTGAACTATAGAGGAATTAACTACCAATTTCACGAATAATTTGTGTGATTAGGTTGATTTGAAAATAAATTTATTAATTAAAAAAAAAAACAGTAATAATCCGACAATGGGCTTTGTACGTAGATTCTCACGCCAAACGCATATTTCAGGAAATTTCTAAGTAGTATTTCATACTAAGTTTACAATATCCTTTTTAGTATAAAATTAAAATGTAATCCTGTGAGTGAGCAACAAATTTTAAATTAAATTCATAAATATAAATATTAGTCGATATTAATCTATTACTTTCAAAAATGTTTGATTATTTCAATTTCATTAAAAACAGATAAAATCTTATTGCATAATCTATTTACCTGATGAAAATATCTATAAAATTATAATTGTTATCATAATAAATAAGTGATCCAGAAAGTTTCCAAACCAGTTTTTCAAATAATCTAATTCTGACCTAGCAAGAATTTTACATTCATAAATGCATAGAACGTCTGACAACGTAAAAAACATGTCAATATAATTATTTAAATAAATAATGCAACTTTTTTCATTACACATTAAATACATTGTAACTTTTTTAGCCGATGACTTCACAGGCGAAACATGTTCAATTGGATTCCAGTAATAGAGGTAAGTATTTTATATGTGCATCACGTTTACGATTATTGCTTATATAATCTAATCTTGCAAGTAAATTTTTAATAATCGAAATATTTTGATAAGAATTAGAATGATAAGAAAACACGACATGGAAGTTTAGCACTATTGAAAGCTCATAACAGCATATTCAGCTTTATGACAAACAAATTTTATAATAAAAATCAAATTTATAATTAACACCCAGTTTAGTGGTTTTCAATTCTTCTATCCTACTCTCCCCCCCGTTTAAAAAAAAATATTGCAACTCTTTAATTTTTTACCAGTTCACTGTTTTGGTTTGTATAGTATATTTTAGAAACAGTTGCATGTCCCTCTTAAAACCCCCTAATAAAGAAACGTCCCACAAGCTAGAAAACGCTCATGATTAGTTTATTTGTCTAAAGAAAAAATCCAAACTTATCGCATGTATAGAAATTTACATGAAGCTTTTATTGCCTTCTTGTTTCGTTTTAAAGCTTAAATAAAAAATTGAACGTTGCTTTCTTAATGTAATAATAATACTAATTAATATACGCTTAAAATAGATTTAAAGTACATACCAGAAAATCAATACAAAAATAGATTTTAGGTGCAACGAAATCGATATAACAAAAATCGGAGCAAACGCCACTTCATCTTATTATGGTTCCATAATGTACGACAAATATTACAAGAGTTAACAACATTTAATCAAAAAGTTAAGTTCTTAAAAAGTATCTGTAAATAAAATAGATTTCCTTCCAAAACAAAACGGTATTTTTTAAACATAAATCAAAATTTTTGTATTCTATAAGCTGTTGTGAAGATTATTTTTACCGATGGCTATCAAAAAGGAATCTATTGGTAAATCTATTCTATTTTTTATTACTGTATTTCTGATACATAGAAAAATGAGCCAAAATAATTACAATAGTTATTATTTCAATTTATTCTACTCAATGGTTGTTCTTTGCTAATAGAAACACAGTTTCATATTTTTAAATTGGGGTTCTTATTCTTTCCAAGCAAAAGATACCAGGTTTGATACCTCCATCAGACAGTTTAATGTCAAGTAGTGACCTCGGTTTGTACTCGAAAATATGGACGAAAATATGTTACCAAATTAAACCCTTCCACGTCATTGAAAATTCTGATAATAAATATATCAAATACAGATAGAATAACCGCCAGGTTACTTTAAAAAACCACAAAGTTCAGAGGTAGCATCACAACAACTCATATTACTGATTGCTGTTAAAAAAAAAAATCCACTAAATCAACAACAACGTCATGTATATGGATCTTTTAACCGAATCAAATTTTATGCATACAATATTGTTCACAAAAAATACTTCTGCTGTAAGTTTTATGTTCTAAAAAAATAAATAAAGCACTCACCGAATTCCCAAGCAGTTGTTACGCCTACACGTGCTTATCCTGACAGGGAAGATGATATTATCATTGATTACACAAAGCCGTATGAATATTGACTGCTTTCCTAGATTTTAATAACAATTACAATTACATGCTAAACTTTTCATATTCATACTTTACCTAAATTAATTCAGAATTAATTCGAAATGTTTTACACATTTTTATAAAAAATGTCACAAAACGTACGACTACGGAAAATGTTTTCCCATGATTGATAATTATAATTGCATATTATACATTACAAAATCTATTATATTTTATATATAAATTAATCATAATAGTTCAAAATGTCTTTCACCTTTTGACAGAATATATGACTAAAACGCTAAGATTTTAATATTCAATTAAATAAAGTTTTTAACGTATACTAATTATTTTAAATAATGTATTTATTACAGAGTTATGGAAAGAGAATTGGATACTCAGAGAAAATCAGAGTCATAAAAGCTCTGTTTCTACTAACAGTGGCCATGATAATAATAATGAAGTTGAATTGAAGAAATTGAATGTGCAAAAACTTCCAGAATATGTGCCAATGTATATTCCTAATAATGTTAGCGGTAATAATCAAAATGAATATGAAACAAACACGCCAATTTCTGACTCAGTAGAGTCCTTAGAAAAAGAAGTTGTAGAAAAATTACACGAACATTTGGATGAAAAATTGAAATTAGTTAATGATTTACAAGATACTGAAAACAGTCAAAATTTAGAACAGCATGACATATCAGATTCTGAGATGGCCTGCGGATGGGTTTTGATAAGGCCTAAAATCGGAGAAACTTCCGTAGATGATTTAAGTGATTTAAGTGAAAGTGAGACTGCCGATCAAAATCCAGATGAAATGACCCAGTCAAAAGAAAACATTTCTCCTGAAAGTTTAACAAATGAAAATTTGGAAAGTGGAGATTTTATGAAATTCAATAACAAGGGCGTTAACTTATATGTAAATGGAGAAAAAATTGATTGCGATAAATTGGTTCCTAAAAATAGAAAACTTGAAGAAAATTTTCAACATATTGATAACAAAATAGAGATTTTGCAACAAACAATAGATAGTGAATATGATAAACTAGTAACATGTGATAATAATGACACAAATCAGTTAGTAACTACACCAGCTTTAGATGTTCCAAATTTAGATCTACCAAATAACTTGACATTAGATCAACAAATAGAAAAGTTAAACCAAAAAATTAATGAAGAGTATACGATGGTTGTTTCCAATGAGAACAACTCATTTGGTGAAGATAAGATTTGTAAACAATATCTTGAAGAAGATGAAATTGAAAAAGAAACGTGTACGATTATTACGCCAAATATTCAAATTATAGAGGCGATTTCGAGTGAAGAACTGCCATGTATCGAAAAGACAAGAGAGTCTACTATTGAATATGATCACGTCAATTCTGATCATTGCATCAACGTTGAGAAGGAAATAGTTAACAATCAGCAAGGTCCATCATTATGGACAAAAAATCCAATTGAAAACGATCATACAATAGTTTGCAATAAAATAGCTCCAGCTAATTTAGATGGTAATATTGAAAAATGTATGTCAAAAAAATGTATACAACTAAATGATGAATGCAATGAAGATCACGCAATTCAATCTCACGTATTACCTGCTTGTAATAAAGATACGGATATTGCCGTAATTGAAGAATCAATTATAAAAATAACATTGCCTGTCATTGCCAAGAGTGTTGAACCTCAAGATCTTGAAACAGCATTGGTAGATAATTCCAAAAATAATGAATTAATAAAATGTGAGGTACAGAAAACACAGTATGTTCCAGAAATCACGGTAATTCTCGCGGAAGATACAAAAACTCAAAGTATTGTCAATACAACATTGAATTACCAAACCCCAAAAAGTAGTGAAACGCTTGAAAATTACATAACGATAGAAAAAAAGACAGAAATTGCTCAGTCAATTATTCCATCTAATGAAAATCAAAATACAATATTAGAAAGTGGTGATAACTCATGTCCTTCAATGAACGTGAGAACTGCTGAATTTATAAATATTGTTGAAAAAAATCCAGTTTTGTTATCAAGTCGTGAAGAAGCAAGTGAAATTTTTACAATTTCATATGTAAATAATAGTTGTAATAGTAGTAATGAAATCAATGAAACTGTGAATTCTGAGTGCAATACAATGAAGGATAATACTCCGCTATTATCGATTAGTTTCCAAGAACTTGATAAAACTGATATAATTGAATACCCTTTACAAACTAATGATTATATTACTTTAAATTTACAGAATAAAGAGAAAAACGAGAAGGAATCTGTTAAAGATAATAAAATCAACACAATCATTAATAAAGATTCTGAAAAAAATCCAGATAACACTCCACTAAAACAGAAGGAGCAAATTGTTTTTAAAGAAGACAATGAAAATAGAGCGTTGGTATCAGATAACCAAAATTTTAATCTATTGACATTCGAAATTCCTAATATTCACGAAGCAAATAATAACTTACGAAATGTAATGATAGCAAATAAGATATTAGATAAATCTGAAACTCAAGAAGAAACTGCAGATAAAACAAATGTTGTAACTGAAGTTTTCATACCAGATGTAAACAAAGAAACTGACGAAATACATGATATCAATAGATATGAAAATGTTTTGAACTTTTTACAAGAGAAAAGTGCAGAAATAACATTGCCAGACGAACAGAAAATTATTCAATCTAACCAAGGTAGTTTGGATAAAAATGATGAACTTCCGATTATAATAAAAGAACATTTAAAAGATGAATATTTAGGAAATAATCTTATTATAAAAGATGATGATAATCCTCAAAATGTCATAAGTTTAAACAAATCGGAGGCTGATAATAGTTTAATTTATAAGCAAGATGTGCAATCCCTGAATGATAGTTTTGAAAATTATATAAAGAAAAATGAGATAAATCGATATGAGACCTCAGATACCTTAAAACTGACCTCAATGGATAATCGCTATAATTCCAACAGCTCAAATCAAAATTTGCTGAAACCTCAAAATGATGAAAGTAAAATTGAAACTGAAACATTGCATTCAATTAGAAAAATATCAGGATTAGATAAAGATATAAATAAAAATCTAAACCAAAATCAAAATACACAAGTATTGACCAAAGATACTAATATAGAAAGTGAAGGTAAGACTATAAATATCTATGCACACATATATTTGTATATTATTGTATACTAATATATAAGATCCTTTCTTTCTAGATGATACATTTGACATAGAGAAGAATTTGATGTTTATTCCAGGTACAGTCATTATATTTTTTAAAAAGTTAAAATAAATTGCATAATTTTTTTTAAATAATTTAGGAAATTAATGCAATATGAAATGAATATTAATATAAATAAAATTAAACTAGGAATAAACAGCTGATGAACTTCCCGATATGTCTTAATCCCGGCTTAATCAATAAGAATTGTTTTCTATACAAAAAATCAGCCTTCAAACTTCAAAATATTTACAAAACTTTAATTTTAGTGCTCTTCATAAATTAATCAATTTGATTGATATCATTAATAAAAAAAAATGCTTATATGCTCAAAAACCATTATTATTAAGAAACGCTTACCGCTTATGGTTCCTCAAAAAAAAAATTCAAAGCAAATATAACCGTCAACTTGTACACAATTTTTGTTTTGAAAATATATTACGATATCCTAAATTTAAAACAAAATGTATACATTTTTTTAATTACTATATTTGTTACAACTGCTAAATAATTAACATCTGGTAACAGTGATGAACAATTATATAAATTTAAAAAAAAAGAGCACAAAATAAAGGATAGAATTTTCAATAAACTGATATATGTGGTATGTTGATTTAATATAAAATTAGAGTAAATAATTATTATAATAACATTAATAAAAAATGTATACATAATAATAAATTTATGTAAGGTCAAGTAGGAATTTCGTTTTCGTATGTCAATGAATGATTTTAGTATTTTTTTAACCGTTCGGTTCGTTTCAGCTGTTCGCACGAAAACCAACACATAATCATCACTACCATTATTACCATTATCATTATTTCTATTTTTGTAATTACCTTTATTAAAGCTATTTTCAAATACTACAGTAAATTTTTATTCAGGTTCTATAGCGGAACGCGAGCATAAGAAATGGCTAAAACCTGACATATCAATGCCTCGAAATCCATATACTTTTGAAGCAATATCTGACAGACTCAAGAACCAAAATAGGTATCTGAATATTTTATTAACTACATTTATTATATCCTTATTACATATTTCTCAGTAGCAAATTAGCAATAGATTTTCATTTCATGCAAAAGCTTTAAAATGAAAATAAAATAAATATTCATCAATAGTCTCATAAATGAATAAATTAAATTAAATTTAAAAAAAGGATAAAGCAAATGATAAATTTAATATTAAAAAAAATTATAATTATAATAATAATTTCAGTATTAAATACGAATTGCCAAAAAGGTCAATATCATTGGATGAAAGGAAAACATTGTATTCTCATCTATTGGAGAGTCAAAGAAATGATATTACAAGGTAAACTTATTGCATATACAACAATATATTACGTAGAGTTTTATACGCCTATCATTTCGTTAATGCATTTAATCTTAATTCATATTTTCATAACTGTAAAAATAATATGAACTTCAAATAAAAAAAATCATTTGTTATGAAAATCTGAAAAATATTGAAAACTTTGAACAATTGTAATGTTGACGAATTGTATGTACAAAGGTATGGTCGAGATTACTACATAAACGAAGCAAAGCAAGCCAGTGGTACAAAGAAATTAAAATCACCAAACGGATTCGAAAGTTTTCAAACAATCGCTGAATATAATGAAGAATTCAACAAAGCCGATGAACTAGAACGAAAACAAAACGAGGTAAAACTATCTCATGATATAAGCAAATTTTTAGGATTGTAATGAAAATTATTACTTTTAGGACTTCTTATTCACTACGAAGCCAATAGTTTTAGAAGAAATCAAAGGTAATTATAAATATCTCGTATTTATTTACGAAGATATTTGTATTTAATACAATATAGGTAGGGCGAAGCACAAATGTCCAATTTGACTTTGATCAATTATATTGTGAAAAACAAACGAATTATATCACAACAAATAACACATATAAAACAAACAACTATCTGACTATGTTCAGTAAAATTCCCAACTAAATCATCATTGTAAAAATGTTGTTTTTTACTATTTTTCAAAAAATTGTCATCTGGTCCTTTTTACCCCATAGGCGGGTTGAAATGAGACGGCCAAGGGTCAATAGATCCCATGTCTTATTTTTAATTTTGAAGGGATTTTACATAATTATAGCTACATTATTCAGCCAATATAAAATATAAATTTCATTGATACATTTTGACTGGTTTTACGTCAGAAATTTACATCAGCAAAGTTCATATAAATTTCTTGTAAAATTACTTCTTGTAACTAAACTTACATTTTTATTTACTATTTTTTATTGTTTACGCCTTTGCCAGGGTAAAATTTCAATTGATCCTTTTTGCCCCAGACACGTGTAAGCTTTTATATAAGTTATATAAAAAATTGTTGAATCTAACTTAAAATTAACAATAAATTTTATAAAAAAATTAAAAATTATATTAAGTGCTCGTAAACTAAACAACGGCGCTAACAACCAAAAAAAGTAACATCGAAAGAAATACTTTTCATTTATTATTATCAAACATTGTCGTTTATATCCCGAAAGCGACGTCCTATGAATCAAGATCATGGCGTTTATACATCTTTTCTCTATACTTTCAAATATTGCTGGTAAAAAGACACTTAACTTTACTTGTTTTTGAAATATCGGTGGCGGATCTTTATCTCCGCTCTACCCCATAGATATGTTTTTTTTTATACCATATAAGAATGAATATTATTTTAAGAGTCATTCAATTGCAGAAGAAAAGCTTCCAACGCAAGGTAAAACATTAGAAATCAGCAACAAAATAAATGAAAGAAATAATTTGAAGGATTCAAAATATCCTGTTGCTGAGAAATTTGTTGTGCCTATAATAAAATTTGAACCTATATTAGGTACTTATGAAGACGAACTTTCCGCTGAAATAAAAAGATTCAGCAAAACACCAAACAAAGTTGATATAAACAATGAAATAACAAAAAAAATAGTAGAAGAGAATAAACATAATTTAGAGAAAGATCTAAACACAAATAAAAGTAATATAGCAAAAAACTATAAAAGCCACACATTGTACCCAATTGGAGATGAAAAAAGTAAATTAAAGGATTCGGTAAGCAATCATGTACAAAGTGTGTATCAACCTTTTGTAAATTCATCTCACAACGCAACGTTAAATTCTCATTCAATTCCGGATTTTGTCGATACAAGCTTTTTAAGCAATGCAAAATCTAACGACGTCGAAACGCCGCCTGTAAAAAATAATTTTGCTTACAAGGAAATAAACCAAAGAACGATTATTAATTATAAACCAAAAGATGATCATGATTCTTATGTTCACAAACGTTATGAAGAGATTTTACCAGATTTTGACTGTGACAAAAGTTTGGATAAAATCGAAATTATTGAGATTTCAAACAATCAAGGAATAAGTAATAACAGTAAGTACTTCCATGACTGTGTGTAATAAAACAATATTTACTTACTAAAATATTTTTTATCACTAGGATCTACACCAAATTTGACATATTCAAATTTGAAGGAACCAGTAGAGAACAAAGCAGAACTAGTAATTCATCAAACAGATAGTACTATGCAGCAAAATTTAGATTCAAAGTTTGTGAAAGAAATTTCGAAAAATTATTTACAAAATAAAAATTTCACAGGACGAAAAGTGAGTTTTAAAATATTTATATGTAAGTACACATATGTGTGTGTATATATGTGTATATATGTATATATATATATATATATATATATATATACAGCTACAGTAGAATCTCGCTAATCCGATAGTATTAAAAGCCGTAAGATGTCGTATTACTGGAATGGTCAGATTACTGGATTATAGTGAAAAAGTCATAATTTTTAACATATGATATTGGAAATAATGTTATAATTTGCAAATTGTCCAGCGCTTCTGTCGCGTGTGTGTCGGATTAATGGAATTGTCGGTTATCGTTATATCCAAGTGTCGGATTAGCGAGATTCTACATATACATACATACGTATATACATATATACATATACATACATACATATATATATATATATATATATAGTATATATATACATGTATGTATAATACATACATACATACATACATACATACACACATACATACATACCGATCCTACCTTGATGCATGAAAAAAATGCGGGGGCACACCTTAGAGGGCGCCAACACGAGATTCGGAAATAAAATTTATAATATATTATTTATATTTTTTATTATTTATTTAAAATCTAGAATAATTAATAAATTATAATAAACAATCTAACCAAATTATTAATACGGAGACACAAAATGCATATTTATTTAGCAATGTGATATCAGTAGAAACAATTAACCAATTAAATAACTCTGCAAATTAGTAAATTATTGTTCTGTTCATTGCTTTATCTACTTATTCAATGTTTTCTTCGTTTGAAGTTAACGTGGAATCGAAAAAGAAATTATCTAGTGTTCAATCCCGTAAGTGCAAACCTGCGAAAGATTAAATTAAATATTGGGTATCATATTTAAAAATATATACAAATTATAATAGAAAAAATAGAAAATGGAGAGTCTGTGCCTAGAAAATGTCTTGTATATTCCGAAAAATTGAATTGTAACTTTTGTTTTTGTTGCAAATGTTTCGCATCTGAACACATGCGTGGTTTCAAAGCAAAATTTACTTTGGAACAAAAATTGTAAAGCTTTTTTTATACCTAGTGGTGCCCGTACTCTAAATGTCTAAATTCAATAATTATTAACTGAGCAGAAATAATACAGGTACAAATATAACTATTTCATTAAATATTTTTCCAATACAGTTAAAAGAATGTAATTTCTTTGAATTTTTTACTGACCCTTGAACAATTTAAAAAGCGTTAAAAATTTAACTTTAAAACAACAATCTGATACTCCGAATCCGACGAGAAAGTATAGATGAATACAATTCGGCCCTTACGATATCAATAAGAAAAAGTTTACGATGCAATTAAGGATATACAATATATATAGTAAAAAAATTCAGACCTAAAACGCTCCGTTTACTGCACTAAATGTATTTTATACGCTGTTAGATTATATATAATTATAATTATATTATAATTTTTTGTGTAATAAATTTAAATTATTGAAAATAATTTAAAAAAATCCGTTAATGTTTATATAATTTTAATGATAAACTGTTAAAAATAAATAGTTAAAGTTAATAGGTAGGGGCGCTAGAAAAAAAATTGCATGCCGGCGCTGAGGGCCCCGGGACCGGCCCTGTATATATGTATATATACACACGCACACACACACACACACACACACATATATATATATATATATATATATATATATATATATTATAATTTATTTTCAGTTTACAAACCAAAGAGATTCTCACGCAGGAAACGAAAAGCCCGCTAGATGGAATGAGGTATTACCATAAACTTTAGATTTGATTGAAAATGTTATGAAGTGAATTTTAATTGTTATGCTAACAAATTTTCAGTCTATAACTCGATATTTATAATTTTTATATAGCTAATATAATTAGAAGGTATTCGTTTAGTTCATAAACGAAAGTATGTTGTCGAAACTTTTAATAATGCTTTCGGCCTATAGTTATTCTTTTAATTGTGATTGTTAACACTGTATCACATTGTGATGATATGTTTACTTGTTATTTCATTCTTGAATATCACTTCATTTAAAAATGAATATACTATAATTTCCTTTTCTAATAAACTAAACCTTATTAACCGTCGTCTACACACTTAAATTAAATTAACCGTTTTGTCACAAACGTCGTCTATTGTGTCGATCATTGCTTCTTTATTTATCACTCAAAGTTAAATTATGGAAAATTCTCAAATGCCATGATAATTTTTAATTTTGTAAAAGTGTACTTTGTAATAATTGAAAAATCATGAAATATGTAGTTTGCCGGGCTCGTTCAGTAGCGCTGCTGGGCACCTCGCTGCACCGCACAGCAGTCTAACAAAAGGATTAAATTATATCGGTTGTGAATGCATTTGAGAATAATTTAAACCGCCTTCTTAAAGTAAATTTTATATATCAATATGACTGAAAATTATATTTACTGAAATAAAATTACATCGAGCGTATAGCCTCGATAATATACCCTAATTGCACAGCTACTTCTGCTTTTGAAAAAAATATTTATTCTCTGGAGCAGATCATTGCTATTTATATAAAAATGTATAATTTCGATGAAGATATCAAGTAATAAAATATTATTAATAATTGCTTTCAGGTACACAGTTTAACGGCCAGAAATTTATCCAAAGAATTTCGTGATAACTTAAAACAAAATAAGGTTGCACCTGACAATATGTTTGACCAGAATTCTTACATGTCGCACACGATACCTCAAAATGGTGACCCGCATTCAACAACAGATCAAACAGATATTGGAAAGAGGGACAAGGTGAAAACATATGCATATTATTCAGAAATGAACAGTGATGTCAACAAGAAAGTATTCGATAATACAAAGCAGCATTCTTTAGAACCAAATATGAACAAATTCAATGATAGCCAACAGAACAATTATCAGTATGTACACAAAGAAACACAATATAAATTTGTTCCGAAATTTGAAAGAAACTTTTCAAAAAGTTGTGAAAATTTAAGAGGGCTTAACCCAAAATATGATAATGAATTTGAAATAAATTCTAAAGAAAGATCAAAGAACTTGGACGATTTGCCAAAACCAGGAAAACTTAAAAACAGCATTCTATTTTTTGAAAAATTATCAAAATAGACTCGCTATTTTTGAATGAAAAAAGGTTATTATAAACATTATATTGTTGTATATTATTACATTTTAAGCATTATGTTTTTATTCTAATAAAATATTTTTATACATTATTTCTCTTTATCATTTAATCTTCATCTAGTAGTTTTAATTACTAATTAAATTGTAGAATTCTTAAATTCTTAAATATCTGTTGTAGAATTCTTAAATATCTGTAATTATAGAGTCTGATTCAAATACGCGACGATTTCAATTTGAACATCCAGGTGTCAAACAGTTGTGACATCGGTTTTCCCTTATATGGATAGCAATATGATTACATATGAAAATAACCCTTCCTCGGTATTGCTGCATCAAAAAGTAAATCATTAGAAACTATTAAAACATAGAATAAGAATATTTTAAACATTGAATTCACAGCCGTTGAGTTTCCTTCTAAAAATAAAAAGCCATGTCATAAGAAAGTCATCACAACACAGGACTGTTAAAATGTTTTGATTTCTGTCATATATAAAGAAAGTATTTGATAATAGTTCTGTACATTGTAATGTCACATGACGCCCAGACCAAGCATTCTTAAGTATAAAGTAACATACTTCATGTAAATTGAACCAAATAAAGGTTCACTGTTCAAATAAAATAGTTTTACCCCCTCTGTAACAATACTTCAGAATAAAAATTTTATAACATATCTCCATATATAATATTACAATACTACTCTGGATAACAATTAGTTCAATACCTGCAGCAATATCTTTGATTCCAGCGAGATTTTGAACCGTCTGCCATCAAAAGCACTAGTGTTGCGCTACAAGGACATGGTTGCATGTGTATATATATATATATATATATATATATATATATATATATATATATATATATAGATAGATAGAAATTAAAAAATATGTACATATTTTACTTTTGAGTACAATCTCTATTTCGCACATCTACATCGAAAATTTGGAACACTTCAAAATTATTTGCATAGAGTTCAAAATTATCATATGGGTTTTCTTCACGCATTTTGAAAAATGCCATCCCCGTTAACAGGGAGTCAGATCCAGCTTTGTGCTGGAAACCAACTCTGCGTGATTCTAGTTGACCTACTACTTCTTGTAAGTCACCATTTAAATTCTTACAAGATTTCATTAGATACTTTATATCATATACAACAGGAAAATATATTCTCAATAATTCAAAAAAATCTTCTTCCTCTTGTGGTAAATTTTGAGCGGTCAATAGTTTCAGTAAATATCCAAAATCATAACCAGAATGAAAACTTAACCATTTGATATTGTCCATTAATACTATGCCAGAAGTCATTAAAATTTCTGCAAATTCTAAAGGATCTATACCATCTATCTCGTGTTTCTTACATTTTTCAGTCGAATTTGTGAGTAAATCTATAGAATCTTCCGTATGCATATCTTCTGATAAGTTGAATTTGAAGTTGAATTGCCATGTAGTATAGCCGGAAGGAGTTTTGCCATTCTTGTCATAGAAGGTCAGCCCAAGTTGTATTATCCTTAGCAAGTCTACATTATATCTTAATAATTGATATTGATAATCTGCAGTTGATCGGAATTCTCCAATAGGTCTCACAATTGCACCAGGAAATTCTGTGTCCATTGCAACGTAATTATATTGTGTAACCAGCTGTCGTATTGTTCGAAATTCTTCTTCCAAATTATGCCTCCAGACATCCCTAATGCGACAATCTTCATTATTGGGGATAGACCCATGAGAACTGCTCGTAGTAGAAGGCATATTCCCAGAATTCTTTCTCTAAATTATAGCCTTCTCCTTTTGTTTATTATTATTATCAACAAAATCTAAATCTTATTGAAAATAACTCAAGCCTTGCTTTGCTTCCTTAATTTTCTTAACAGCTTTCTGTGTGGTTGAAAAAATGTATTGTTCCAATTTTAGTATATGTTCATCCGAAGCAAGGACACCACACACACACACACACACATATATATATATATATACATATATATATATATATATATATATATATATATAATTATATATAACTATATAAATTTCTTAATACTTTTAAACCCGATTCATCTAAAGAGTATTCGTGGTTCATGTAATTCAAACTGCTGTTTTTGTTATTATGTTTATGTTTTTGTTATTATGTAAATTTCTATATTTATTGAAATATTGAAATCGTAGTTGGATAATTAAGTATTTCTTTAAATGAAATGAATCTCAATAATAAAATAGTACGAGACCAACATAATAATTATTTCACATGCATTAGCAAATGGCAATCATAATAATATATTATATAATATATATTATATAATAATATATTATATATAAAATGGTTATAAAATTGGTGTAATTGCATCACAGAAGTTACTACTACTTTTCCAAAGTCACTTACCAACAGATGTAACACGATACTCCAGGAACTTTCCAAGAATATCCAGTCTCTAAGTATACTTGTTTGATTACTCGACCTACAAATAATTGGTACTTGAATAAAAATATACATTTAAATTAACATTATATAAGCATTTGCAAATATCAAAAAATTGTTCAACACTAGATAGTCTTAGTTTTTATTAAATAATTGAACAAATATTATTACAACATTCTAACTATTAAAATAAAAGTTTGGTTTAAATAATTATCATAAAAATCAGTATTGCTATAAGAAATATATGGCACACTAACTTTATGACATTAAGTTTGCAATTAACATTTTTGATAATCCCATCAACAAGTGTGATCTAATATATAATAATTTTTTAACGACATGCACATTCGTATTTACAATTACACACTTCTTTCATAAAAATTCACTTGAAATCAAGAACTGTGCATATATATCTAATTAAAAACACACATAAGAAACTATCACAAAATTGCACAACCTACCCTCTTTATTTATTATTGTTTTATGAATTTTTTTACATAACACATTTTTGGACGTAACCGAAACGAACAACGAACAAGTTGAGGTTAATTTTTGTTTTCCATGTTCATGTGCTCATGGAGCTGTCAAATCAGGGCCGAAATTTTAACAACTTTAAATAGTTTGAACAAATATGTGAATTATTTCAAAAAGTCCAAAAAAACACTTTATTATAATAATGTACTCAGATATTATTAATAAAGTTTTCGTTTAAGAATACACTAAGATTACCTATTAGCAAAATCAGTTTTATTTTCCAGAAAACCGTCGATCAATTCAGAGTGATCTGTACTTTTTTCATTTTCCTTTTATGTTTATTTATCTATGGTATTTTATCCTTTTATGTTTATTTATCTATGACCTTCTCAGTCCGTATTAAAAAAAAAATTATATTACTTTATCATATTATCAAACAATTTACAAAAACTTCAACAGAAACACATATTTATAAATTGAATCAGTATCATATAGTCCATTGTAACAAAAAGTAAATAAATAAATAGGAAATACATCCATTTTTCATACATGTACATTGCAGTACTCTTCATATATAAACAATTTAATATTTCTGATATTGTTATTGAAAATGCCAATTAATAGTATAATACAACTGTCCTTTATTATTAAAGAAATCAAATGAAAATGAAATGATAAAATGTACTCACCTGGGCTCTTTCTATTGAAATAACTTAGTAGCAAATTAATTAACACATTTGATTAACATAACATAATCATTAACATCATAGATATAGACAAGACTGCGATTACTATGCCTGCTCTGCTCTTTGTTTATTTTATAGTTTCAATTGTTTTTGTATAGGAGCGCCACTAGCTGTTGGACGTAAATATGTCCCTAGGCATAGATCAATAAACATGTTCATAGGTTTAATTCTAATTTTAAGATAAATATATAATATCATAGATGAGATATATATAATATAATATAAATCCTGAATACTTTGAATAAATGAAACGAAAACAAAACATATTTTTATGAAATATTTTTGCAACAAAATCACAAACATATTTCTGCAAAAACTATTAAAATCATAAAACATAAATATGAAAGTTGTATATAAAGAAGGCTAGCAATTTCCTCGAATCGGATCACACTATGATTTTTTTTCAATTTCCTCAACTCAATAATAAAAAATTATTAAAAGTTAAATTTTATCTATATGTCTAAGTACATGCATTATAATAAGATAATCGATTCTAAGCAAAGGTTGAAAAAAATCAGCACAATAGTCCTTGTTGAGTGTGGAGTAAACAGCAGGTAAAGCACATTTGTTCTAATTAAGTTAAAATTAAATAATTGTAAGTGCACCCCCCATGATCAAGATATAGATATTTAAAAGTGTGAATATCTTGTTTTTTACTCACATTAATATATTCTTTGCTACATATTGTTCACGAATAATTAAATTTTGCAATTATCGTATATATTATTCTGAATATTTACTGTTATTTTCAATGTTTAGTAGCACAAATACAATAATAAGTATATTATAACATTTGAAAGACTTAAAATAATATTCCAATGATTAAAACTGATTAAATTATCCCCAAACAATATATTGGATTTTTATTTTATTATATTCAAAATTAAATAAATTATTATATTCTATGATATTCAAATTAAATTCTCCTAACATTTCAGGAGACTATCTCAGCTGTGAATCAGTATAACCAGGAGGTAATACTTATCCGTGTCAAAAAGATTAGGAGAATAGCCACATTTCCTAATCTGCTAAATGCTGTTATCAGAGTAACAATTCAATTCAATTTTGAGTTGAATGAAATGCATATAATAAAACGGCAGAAAGGGTGAAACGATAATAGCAAATGTGGATAAAAACTAAAAAAAAAAAGATGATATCATATGATTTACTTTATATATTATACGATATTTATTTATTTATAGCCTGATAATCTCCAAAAAAAATTTAGTGTCCGAAAGAGCTATTTTCAATATGCATGTGTCAATGAAATGAATATCACTATGCATAATTGGAATTAAATGGTAATTGAATTAAAAATAATGTGACCATTAGATATTGTTAGCTAAAAGCAACCTGAACTATTCAATAAGATGCACATGAATTTATAAAAAAAAGTATCAAATTGTATGATTTATATAATTACAAAATAAATCAAATAAATATAAGATACATCTATGAAATAACATTTTCTTATTATTGTTATATTACCGTATATATTACACTAATGCAATTGTAAGATGTATATACTATCATATACATTCATCAAAGATGCACTTTACTTGTAAATTAGCAATTTGAATAAAATTTTCATTGCTTTGACAAAAATATTTAAGTACAAATCAAATAATCATAAAGTTAATCTAACAATAATAAATGAAAATTTATTATTTATTTAACTAAAATTATATAGGCACACTTTTTTTTTTTAGAATTACCTAAATATAAGCTTGCGACAAGTTGCCAAAACATAATAGCACTTTTGATCTTAACGATATTAATATATTAATTTAATTACTATCAGTTATGATTTAAATTTCAATAATATACTTGTATTAAA